GCCCAACGTCCCCGGTGTGTCCCCGTGCCACCGGCTGGGCTGCTGCCGGGACAGGCGGTGCAGGGGAGGCTCTGCGGCGCGGGGGGTGAGGGGAGCGGGATGGTGCTGGAGGGGTGCGTGGGGGGAATTTGCTGCTGTTTTATTGCCCGCAAAATGCGCTCACCCCTTGCTGCCCCCAGGGAGGGGGCAGAGGCTGGACCAGGAGAGGGGACAAGGGACAGGGGGAGGCAGTTTTGCAGCCCGGAGCCGTGGCTTCAGCCTGGCAGCGGCCGTTCGGTGAGATGGGCGGCTGCATCTCCTGCTCACCTCAGCACGCGTCCCACTGCGACTGGTGGGGCTGGGATCACCCCCAGCTCCTGTCCCATCAAGTCCCCAAGGGCTGGTGTGCTGCTGGGTGGCACATGGGTGCCTTTGACCCTCTTGGCAGCACCCCCTGTGCCCAGTGCAGAGAGAGAAAATGAATGTGGCGATGCTTGACAGAGCAAATAGCTTGGTGATGCTCTCAAAACAAGCCAGTGCTTGGTGGACCTTGTTTCTCGGGCTGCAGAGTCCTCAGGTTTGTCTGCCCCTCCGAGGTGGAGCCACGGCTCTTCTCCAGGACAAGGTGGCTCCTGGAGGCAGCAAAATCCTACTGCCGAGCAGCTTCTTCTGATGATATGGAGATGCGGTGGTAAACAAGCTCTGTCAAACTCCTACAGAAGCTGTGAGGGTCTTTCCCTGGTCCCTTCATGAATACAAGCGCTCACTCAGCAGGGGAGAGCTGCTGTGGTCACATCCCCCATTTCAGGGCAGGGGTGCAAGGTGTCAGGAAGAGCTTTGGGAGCCCGGTTGCAGCGTGTCTCCTCTCCTTCCTCCGCCCTTTCATAGGGACCCATCTGTTGGGCTGTGAGGGATGCAGGGTTTTGGAAGAGAAGAGACCTCAGCTGGCTTCTTCTCTCCTCAGTCCAAGTGGTCAGTGGAGCCAGAGGTCTAGGGACAGCTTGTCTTTCTCCCACTCCTTCCAGACCCATCGTCTGGGACAGGACAGGCCTGCAAGGCTTGAGACCACGCACAACCCTCCAAACCTGGGCTCAGCTCCACAGCAGACCATTCTGGCCATGCATCATCATTCTGCAACATGAAGCTGATGGCCTGCATTGCTATGAGAGGACATTGCTTTGGGCCATAGTGTCAGGATGTCACGTGGCTTCCAGGACAGGATTGCTAGTTTTGGACAACAGTGCTGGCACAGAGGGGACAAGGTCCCATGGGAGGCGCAGAAACCCATCTGCCAGACACTGCTGGCCTGTCCTCTGCAGCTCTGAGGTCCTGGCTGCTTCTGGGAGTTACCTGAGAAGCGATGCCACAGGTAGAGCTGAGCTGGTATGAGTTGCTGGAGCACAGGTGAGAGCAATCAGGAGATGTGTTTTTCAGCTGTAAAAGGAGAGATTGGTGGATGGAGAGGCTTCATTAGGCGCAATCCTGAATCTGATTTTCCAGCAGAAAGGGACAGCCTTGAATTTCATCTCTGGCGTTGCCAGGATGGTGTGGTGGTGTGGTGGTAGAGGACCATTTGCCAGCCCTACTTGCTAATGTTGCTCCCTCTTGGACTTCAAGGTAGTTTTGAGTATCCTGGGAAGAGGGGCACTTGCTGTTGTAGCAAAATATCTAGTTTGGGTAAACAGCCTTCTGGCCCATCACTGAAACTCAGCAAGGAGGGTCTGGTTTCAGAGTGGGATCAGAGAGGCTGGTTTGTATCCCCAGTCCTCAGCCCCTCTTTGGTGAGTGGAGAGCGGCGCGTGAGGCTTCATCCCAAGTGCAGTCTACCAGCCAACACCCAGCTCAAGAGGGTGTACAAGCTCTAGAGAATTAGTTTGCTTTTTTATTGCCCCTTTTCCAACAAGTGGAGGTGAGACAGCCTGGCAAGGTGGCCAGGAAGGTAGAGGAGAAGAGAAAGTAGAGGCAAACTCATTCCCAACAGGTTGCTTGTGTTGGCCACCTTCGGTGTGACCATTCCCACCTCTCATTCCCATGTTCAGCCTGGGGGGGACTTGCAGCGTAACCCACTCACGGGGGCACAGGGAGGCTGGGTGCTCTGGGTGAAGCTTTAATGGCCCACTGTGGGCAGCTGGCAGATGCCAGGGCGTTGCTGGGTGGTGTTCCTTTCTTTCCATCTTGCTGGAAAAGCGAGGCAGGAACCTGGAAACCTGCCTGGAAACCTTGGGTGGGAGGGTGGGAAGGAAATGGTCCTGCCTGCTCAGAGCAGGGCTGTAAGTTGGGGCTGTGCGGTGTGTTTCATTGTCGCAAGAATTGGGTCCCCATTTGGAGAAACCTGCTGGACTGACCGACTCCGTGAGAGCAGGCAGGTCCCAGGCAGCCACCCCTGCCGTTCTTGCCCAAAGCTACACAGGTGGGCAGCAGGAGCCTGGTGCTGCCCTCCAGCCTGTCCGTGCAGCCCTCCAGCGCCGGCGTGGTGCTAGCCCAGGCTCAGAGGGCTCGAAACTCACCCTCCCCAGGAGGTTGCTCCCCTACCAAAAGCATTCACGGGACCAGAAATCCTCCTGGAGCCCTGCTGTGGGGTCTGTGGGAGGTCTTCTGGTCCCAGCAGTTATGATACCTTCACTGCCCTGTGTAGTGTCACATCTCGTCACATTGTAAACTAATGAAATCACTGCCCCGTGTTGCATCCTGTCCCGTCCTAAATTAATGAGCTCACTGCCCCATGTTGCATCCTGTTACTGTATGTCCAGACTTGACGCGGTCACCGCTTTGTGTTGCATTCTGTTGCGTCTAAAATTTCTGCAGTTTACTGCCCCGTCTCATGTCCTTGGGTAGCAGAAGCTGTCAGCCCTCCCTGCAGACAGCCCAACTCTGGCGGCTCCGTTTCCCGTGAGGTTCCTTCTGAAATACCGCAGCTCGCTCTGCCCTTTAGGACATCTGTTTCGGTGAAGGAGGGGCGAGGATTAACGCAGGACCTAGCGAGGGAGGGGAGAGCTGCACCGGCGGAGGGGGAAACTCAGCGACGGTGCTGGTGGGAGCCATGTCGGATGTGAAAGGAGCGATGAGGGGGAATGGATAGCAGCAGCTTTTACACTGCAGCCCACCCGCGCACCCTAATGGGTCGCCACATGGACTTTGCCAAGAGATTTGCACAGTGTGTGCTGCTTTTCCCTCTGCAGGGCAGGCAGAGATGGTGCCTTGTTAAATATGCTGGTAAAAGACTTGTTATTTGGCACTGCAGCTTCTGATTCCTGCACGTTGGTGTTTCCCATTGCCCACTGGGATTCGTCCCCTGGGAGCTGGAGGTGGAGAAAGGGCATGAGGCCAGCGTGCACGTCCCTCTGTCTCCTGGCTAGATTAAAGATGGAGACGGGGAGCAGAGCACAGGAAGGGAGGAAAGTCCAGAAGTAGTTTGGGATTGAAAGCAGAACCGTGGCTATGGGGTCATCCAACCCAAAAGCCTTAAAGCCTAGTGGTAGTGGTCAAGGATGGAGATAAATGCGTGCATTTGTAAGGTCTTCTCTTTGGAGGAGACTTGTCCTGATTTAAAGCACTGGAGCCGTGCTCAGGACAGCGTCCCACACGGTGTGTGTACCTTGCGGGGTCGAGTAGCAATAGCCAGGCTGGCTTTAAACCAGCCAGCTTAGTACTGGTCTAGGTCCAAAACTAATCGAGCATCTCCAAACTAGTCAGCAGCATGGGCAGATGCACCCAGAACGGTTCCAGAGACTGTAAACGTCAGTACAGCGTTCACACCAGGTGCAGGGCTGTTGAGGTGGTGGAGCTGCCTTAGCTTTTCAGCATCTCACTCCTGTTCCTGTGAGCTTGCTGACCTGGTCACAAAGCCACCAGAGTGGTCATTGACTCCTAGGGGACTTCCTTTTGGACTAGCCAGGTCCTTGGGATGAGCAACACCAGAGATTGTGGCAGATCAGGAGAGAAAGGTGCCAGCAGGAAGGCGGGGAGGGAGCTGGCACGGCACCACCAGCACCATAGCCAGTGGCATGTCCCTAGAGGAGCACCAGGTTGCCCCCCCGCGCCTTTCATTTGCCCCTCCACGAGGACCATGAAGGGTGGCTCAGGAGCTGCTGCCCCTCACGTGCCGCTCTCTGCCTTTCTCACTCTGTGTCTCTTCCTGTTCCATCTCTTCTCCTTGTTTTTCCAGAAAAGAAAGTCCAGTTCCAGCGTTCAGTTAATGGTGAGTGTCCTTCGTCTTCCTCAATGCCGATATTGCTGGGCCTCTCTACATGTTCCAGCTTCCCCTGTTTTTGGAAGTTACCTCGGGGTAGGGAAGAAGGGACACTGGGGTTGGAGGGAACATCCTCAAAGCCGTATCACCCACAAACCCCATTAACAGGGTTGGTGCAGGCACTTGCTGGCCACCAGCTGGTGGGAAGCCAGCCCTGGTTCTTGCTGATGGGTTCTCATGCCGTTTCTCCCAGTTCTCCTGACTCAGGTCTGCAGGCTGCATCGGTCCAAGGAGCCTTGGAGAAACACCTTCCATGCCTCTGCGGGGACTGTATGGTCATGGGACACCTTGCCAACCTACATCGGGGTATTATGGGTAATACATAAGCAAGGCTCTGCTGGGAAGAGCTAGCAGAGCCATTGCTCTAGCTCCGCTAGCAGAGTCGCCTTGATGGGGCTCCTGGAGAGAGACGGGGGGTCAGTACCCCTCTCCCCCCAAAATCTGTGTAGTGCTCAGCTGTTTCTTGAAAGAGCTGTGTCTCAGCCTTCGGTGGTCCATGTGGGTCTTGGAAGCACTCTGTTTTATTGTACATTTCTCTCCCTACTCTGCGGTCAGTGTGGTCTCTCTCACTCCTGCACAGTCCCCTCTTTCTCATCCCAGCTCCTCCTCGCTGTTAATTTGTACATCTCTCTCTTTATCGTACAGTCAACATGGTGTCTTCCACCCTTACACAGCCCCTCTCCCTGCCCCTCCGGCAACGCTCCTAGGAACCCACCAACCCCCCCTCCCCCCAGACCTGCCCCCATCTCTGTCCCCACAGGCGTCGGTAGGAAAGGCAGCGCCGTTCCTACGAGACCCTCCACAGCCCAGCTCTTGTGCCCTTGGCTACAAGGAGTGGAGGTCAGGGAGGGCTCTGCCAGCGCTGCCCTAGAGCTGTGGTTGAGGATGGGTTGGACCTGCTGGTGTTTTCCTTGGTTTCTGTCCGTTGGCACAGTTGAGCGCTGTGGGGTCGGACTCGGGGGGCTCTCGGACACACAAGCTCCATCTGGCGTGGGGAGAAGACCCCTCTCACCGCCCCATCTGTCCTTTCTGTTCTTTGTTCAGGAATCGTCGGAGAGCACCAACACCACCATCGAGGATGAAGACACCAAAGGTACTGGCGGGGGCGCCCGGGGAGGCGGGCAGGCTGTTTTGGAGGTCGTTAGTCTGGTCACCCCTAATGAGATATTGGCTATGGTGAAACCCACCACCATCGAGCTGCCTCAGGACCCTTCAGAAGTTGCTTTAACTCCTTAGGTGGTTGCACTGCTGGGTCGCTGCCATGAGCAGCTGAGGCACTGCTAGCGAGGAGAAGAGGGGTCCCCAAAACAGGGATGTTCCCTGAAAACAGGCATGGAAATAGCAGTAATCTGCAGGGATAGCAGCCGGGCTGCCTGTTCCTCCAAAATAAATGGCCCTTTGGGAAAAGCCTCCAGGGGAAATCCCTGCCTCCCTCCCGCCGCCTGCTAGAGCCAGCTTTCTAAGAATAACCCAGGGAATAATTTATCAGTGCTAATTTGTAAAGTCTCTCGATGAAGCAACCTCAGCACAAAGCAAGATGGACTTTGGCCTGACATGAGAGTTAATGGGACACTTGTCCTCCTGGGGAAGGGCTCCCTGAGAGCGGACACGGAGGCAGGTGGTGCTCGGGAAGTGATGGGAGTCCCTCTGCTCCTTTCTGAGTGACTCTCAGGAATGCGCTCCCTCTCCTTTCATTAGCCACAATACAAAAAAAAAATAAAAATTAAGTCAAGCATGACGCTGATTTGCATTTGAAGCAGAGCCTCATTAATAAGCCCAGGGTTACCTCTGACAGCTCCTCCTGCATCCCAGGGAGCCAAATCTGCTCTCGCAGCCCAGTCTCTTCCCAGATGAGCCAGCAGTGCCCGGGGTCCCTGGCAGCAGCCACACAGTGCCGTCCCCTTCATGGGGTCCCTCCTCTGTGTCTGCCAAGGTGGATGGCCGTATCACCCACCTGTCCTCCCTCCCAGCCGAGATCCTCTCCTCCCATCTCAGAGGGAGGTGAGACCATCCTTGGTCCAGCTTGCCCTGGCTGGCCCCTGCTCCGAGTTCACGGGGTAGAAGGTCCCCACCTTGGCAAATCTTTGCCAATTTTTTGGGCTGAGGGCAGCTCACCCTCAGGTGGTTAAGCCTTTTGCTCTTTAGGAAAATACAGGGTTTTTCAGTTTTGCCCTGACTTTGGAGGTCTTTCCTCTCCAGAGGTGAAGAGCGCTTCCCCACATCTCTCTCCCAAGTGGCTCTCCTGCTTTTTCCCTGGACAGTTTCCAGTGGCCGTCCGTTTCTAATGAGAAAAAGATAACCTCGCCGATATTGCAACACCAGCACTTTTGGTTTGTTTTCTCCTTTTATTTTCTTTTTCTCTTTCAACCAACAGTACGGAAGCAAGAAATCATCAAAGTCACAGAGCAGCTGATCGAAGCAATAAGCAACGGCGACTTTGAGTCCTACACGTGAGTGTGCCCAGCGTGGGTTTGGGTCGGGGTGGGGGCTCAGCCTCCCAGAGCGGGTGCTCCCAATGTGACAACACAGCTGAGGAGGTGTTACTGCTGCCCCGGGCAGGGTGACCAGGTTGATGTGGTGGTGGGGCATGGAGACCATCCAAGAGAAGCAGGGGACATCAGTTTCCAAACCTGGTGCTTCTCTCACGCTAAGCTGAATCACATCTCCGGTCTCATTATCATGGATGAGCCCGTTGTCTGGTTTGCAGAAAGACGAATAACTGTAAACCTGATTTATGGTGGAGGAAGGAACATTGCATCCATGGTATCCATTATATCCAGATTGCCACAGGCTGTTTTGGAAGCGTAACTGCTTTCTAGTCGCTGAGCTGACGCTCCTCAGAGTACGCTGCTTCTGTGTCCAAGGCCTATTTAATTAGCGATGTCTGAGCAAGTGCAGGTCTTCGTCCCTGCCTCAGAGAATTGCAGCAGGGAGATTTTGATACAGAGCAGAGAATATGAGTTTTTCCCTGCTGTTTTTCTTTCATATAAAGAAGAGAGCAGTGTTTTTTGGGAGGTTTAATTGGAGATGGTGACTGATGGAGAATTGGCCCTGCCTCGCTGGGGTCTTGGCTGCAGTCAGTGGGCTGGAGGTGAGGTGGGGGGGCTTCATGCAGAGTGCAGGGATGAGGTCAGACTTCTGCTTGAATTGCTTACTGGTGCAGAGGCTCCTGGGTCTCAGGCTGAGGGGCTTTGAGCAACCTGGTCTAGTGGGAGGTGTCCCTGCCTATGGCAGGGTGGTTGGAACTCGATGATCTTCAAAATCCTTTCCAACCTAAACCATTCTATGATCCCGAGCGTCACCCGTTTGGATTTTGCAGGCTCTCACACCAGAAGCAGTGAGATAACCTCTCCCTTTTCTCTCCACTTCTCGCCTCCCCAGGAAGATGTGCGACCCTGGGATGACTGCCTTTGAGCCCGAGGCTCTGGGCAACCTCGTGGAAGGCCTGGATTTCCACCGATTCTACTTTGAAAACCGTAAGCAGCCCCCTTGCCTCCCGAGGGACCCTTCCCACCTCCCATGGGCCTGGCTGTCTCTTGACCTCCATCAGCTTGCTGGAGAGAGGAGGGTAAGGGTGGCTTTGGGAGCATCTCTGGCTGATCTGGAAGATCCCAGCAGGAGGTCCATCAAGCCTGTTAGGTCAACTGGGGCCAGGCTGTATGCAGAGGAGTTGTTTGGTTAGCTGCTTTTTAGGTGGACCCATGCTGAAGCCACTTGTGCAGCATTTGCTTAGTGCCTCCAAGCAGAGTGCCTAACACAAGCATCTCCCCTTCCCGCATTGCTGCTGCTGCCCTGGGCAAGAGCCACCCAAACTCCTTCCCCTGCCTAAAGCCACTTGTTACTTGTCCCCTCTTCAGTGTGGTCCCGGAACAGCAAGCCTGTGCACACAACGATCCTGAACCCTCACATCCACCTGATGGGAGACGAGTCCGCCTGCATCGCCTACATCCGCATCACGCAGTACGTGGATGCGGGAGGGATCCCCCGCACCGCCCAGTCCGAGGAGACCCGCATCTGGCACCGCCGGGATGGCAAATGGCAAATCGTCCACTTCCACAGATCCGGCGCGCCCTCCGTCCTACCGCAGTAAGCCCTGTGAGGATCCAAGGATGGGGCAAGGGGGGACGGTGAGGGCTCCTTACGACGCTGAGGCTGTAAAGTGGGTGGGATCCTGCTCCGAGCATCCGCGGTGGGGAGGACATGGCCGATCGCCGTGAGATAGCGATGGGGAGGGGGATGCTCTGCCAAAGGGATGGTCAAAGCAAATTCCCTCTCTGCCCGGTTTGTGTTTTGCAGCTGAAGCGCGGTCCTGCCCGTGTGGGGTTTGTCACTGACTGACTACCAAGGGGAGACCTCCTCCGACATCTTCACCTACGGGACTTTGGCTGTTGGCTCTGCTGCTTGGTTCCCGCTGGAATAACCCCTCGCTTCTCACCGCATACACGCAACGGCCCCACCGGCGCCGCGCAAGCATCCCATCGAACATCCTCACCCCGCCGGGGCCATGGCACTGGGTCCCCTTTCCTCTGCATGAACCAAGAAAAGAGAAACCATGAACGTAAACCCGAGCATCTGGGCAGTGAGATGACACGTGCCGGGGTATAGGCCTCCCTCCTCAGCTGCATGGCACTGGTGGGACCCCCCGCTACCCAGCATGTCTTCTGAATTGGGCTCGGACTCATCATCCGCCTCCATCCCCACCTCTGCTGGGATTCCCTTGAGGAAGAGGAGGGCAGGGGGGCAGTTTTGAGCTGCTCTGTGCCGCACCCTCTCTGCGCACTGGTGGATTTTGCTTTGCTGCTATCGAGGTCCCCATCTGCCACCGTGGCTCCCACCTGCTCCCGACCCAATCTCCTGCTTCCTGGCAGCCTCGGCCGGGGAACCGCGATTAAAACCCTTTGCAAAGTCCATATTCCACGTGCCCCTGGGCGAGGAGGTGTCCTGGTTTGAGTGTTCGGATGGGTGAGTAAAGGCTATCTGTTTATTTTCCCTTCCCAGGAGCCAAGGCTGGCTCCTTCTCGGGAGAGCAAGTAGGATCGCGCCCTGGCTCCGGGCAGCTGCCATGCCAAGAGGGATGCTCTCCCTCCTTCCTCCCTTCTCCCTTTGGAGCAGAGACCGGTGAAGCCGGGAGAAGAGAGGAGGAGAAAAACAACTGCTTCCCAGCGCCGCGTCGGCACAGCCGGGATCCGGGGCTCTCCCAGCCATGCCATGGCGGTAGC